TCCCAACTATGGCCAAATAGTTAACCCCCAAACTGGGGTCAAAACACTATGAAAGTATAAAAATAGGTCTTAATACCAGAAATACTTTGTAAAAAAAATTATTACCAGCAATACATTTTTGAAAAAAAAAGATATTACCAGCTATACATTTTTTAAGAAAAATTTTACCAGAAATGAAAAAATTGTGGGCATTAAAAAAACCCATTGAAGTTGATATACCGCAAAACAAACCAAACCAATCCAAACCAAATCAAACCAAACCGTCCTGAATCATTACCACTCACTAAGTACCCTGCACTTTTTGCTTTGCGTCCTTAATAAGGTTAGCTTAAAATATCTGGGCGCCTCGGAGTACAGATATGGTTTATCATGCTAATCATATAATTTGATCTTCACATAAAGCTCCATATTTTTGCCCATTTGCCAGACATAGCTAAACCGCTATAGAACTAAAAAAAAAAAAAACTCCGCCCTTCTCCTTATACTAGACAAATTCAATCTGAAAGATCGGAATATTTTTACCTTCCCACGTTCTGCATGAAGTAAAAGCATAATACAGAGCGCATGGTTGTATTTGGAAAAAAGATCTTCACTGATAATAATAAAATTATCATCATATCTTGATAAAATGGTGAGTTTCTCATCTAATGTAATTCAGAGAATTTCTCCAAGTCAGACTCAGTGTCTTATCATGTTTTTGTGACCTAATAAAAAACGCTTTCTTTAAATAGTAGTTAGGAACGTTTTAGTGTACACTAATGTGGATATGGAGGGATGGACTCCGCCAGGTTTATTTTACCCATAACTTGCTTCAGCAATCCTACGACTACAGGATGATGATGATGATGATGATGATGAAAGTCGGTTCCCTGTGCCACGCCAGGAAATTTTTCTCGCCGGAGTCGATCCTTCAAATCTACAAATCAACCATTCGCCCTTGCATGGAGTATTGCTGACATATATGGCCTGGATCCCCTTCTGTTTGTCTCAAGGTCCTTGATAGAATCCAGAGACGGATATGCAATGTAATTGGCCCTGATCCGGCATTTTGTCTGCAGTCGCTCTCTCGCAGACGTGCCGTCGCCTCCCTCTATCTTTTTTACAAATATTTTCACGGTAACTGCTCCGATGAGCTGCTTTCGCTAGTTCCCAGATTTCATGAATTTAAGCGTTCAACTAGGCTGGCATCTCGCTCTCACCCTTTCACTGTTGAAACTGTTAAATGTAGACGTCGCTTCTACTCCAATAACTTCATGTCTCGCACCTCTCGCCTGTGAATCTCCATCCCCTTTTCATGTTTCCCTGATAGCTATAATCAACTATTTAAATGTAATGTCAATCGAAGTCTCCAGATGTTTTGGTCTATCTCTTATCCTTCTCTTCATCCTTCCTCCATCACTCCTATTTGCTCGTAATGTAAAGATCAGATATCAGATATCTTCTTTTATAGCATATATTTTCCAGGAAGTAGCTGATCATAGCTCTCCACAATTTCCAGTCTTTTGTTGCACAGAATTTATTTTGCCTGATTACCCTCCCTATTCTTCATCTGTAAGGAAATGGTTTTGCATTCGTTGTCATATTCCTGTATTAGATATTAAACAGCAACAACATCAATCACCATCTTCTTTTTTCCGGAATCCTTTTATCGTCATTCCTACTCACTAAAGTCTTCTTATTCTCTTCCAATCCGAGTAACTACTTGCGTCTTAGTGGCATTATCACCTTGCTTGGGGTGAAATGGTTAAAACAAAAAGTTCAATATACTGTTTTTATTTTATTTTATTTACACTATTTGCATTGTTTGGAATGTTGTACTCATCTTTATTGTCACATTCACGACGTTTCGGCCGTTGTACTCTCCCACCTTCTTCAGGTGATATTTGTTAGAATTTCGAACAGAGCCCTTTATTTAGTCCATGTAGCTAGATTGTTCTAATTCCGCGTGCCTTTGGATATCTCAGTTTTTTTTAGTTAATTTCTTTTGATAATTCAACTCTCCAAGTTTGTCATCTTTGCTGTGGCCAGGGATTTGAACTCACAACTGTTTTGGTCAAGACAATTTTTCTTTTGTTTTTAACATTCTTGCTGTAAATCTGAGTTTACTCGTAATTCTTATTTTCCTTAAAACTTCCTCGTTACCCACATGTTCAGTCCGTGGAATTCTCAACATCCTTCTGTAAAACCATATCTCTGTTACTTCAAGTCTCCTATTTATCCATGAAAAGGTGTTCACTGCCATAAAGGAGGCTAGACATTACATAGCATTTCAGCGCTGATTTCTTTATTTCTAACAAAAATTTCTTAATTCTTTATTCTTTACTTAGTTTTTAAAAGACATTTTTATATATTCTTAAGGACCTTCAGATTCCCGTGTCACGTTTTCTTTCGTTAATTACTACACTAGCCAGGTTGTAAAATTTAAGCACCTGCTTGTTTTCTTTTGTTCATACATATTTGTTAAGTCTAATTTCTGCACATTTCTCATTGAGTCATGCATCTTTTGCTTGCTTGTATTTGTTTTACCTGATTTTGCTTGATTTTTCCAAAGAGACTATCACAACCGGAGTGATGACAATTTTAAAAGATTAATAACCCCAACACTGAATATTGCCAGTACATAATATCATAATTATGGAATTTTGAGGTTTAATGTTTAAGGATCGAATTTATAGAATGAATTGTGGAGAGACAATTGTCTTATTGGTCGTTATGGCTATATATATATATATATATATATATATATATATATATATATATATATATGATTAGAGCCGAGCAGTTCTGCAGACATTCCGACCACTACGTAGAATGCAAGGTAGTTAACACGAACTAATCTGCAAAAGAAAGTATTTAAACGAAGAGAGAAAATGAAAGAAGAGATTAAAAAAAATAAATGAAAGAATATGAAGTAAAAAACAAGCAGACAAAAAAGAAAGAAAGAATGATAGAAAGAATCAAGGAAAGAAAGAAAATGAAATAAAGAAAGCAAGTAAACAAGAAAAAAGAAGGGATAAATGAAAGAAAAATATGAAGTTGTTGGGTACAGCGTACCCGGATTAAAAGGAGAATTTAATACGGGATACCCTGCCCACAAAATACAATGCAAATTTCAAGAAAAGACAACAGAATAAGGAACGTAGAAAATAGAACATTGTATATTTAATGTCATTCATGCAGAATAAACAAATTTGTATATTTTTTATATCTTGTTGAATAGAGTAAAAAAGATTAATGCTTTAGTTCGTTTAAGCAAATGTGATTTGAAAAAAAAAATGTCTATGTGTTCGCTGTCTTTCAACAGAGTAGTAGAGTAATGTCTGTTTCTTTTGTTTTTGTGTATCCGCCGAGTAGATGTAAAGGAAAAAGGGGCGATCAATTTAAGTTGATAAAGAGAGTAAGAATGAGAAATAAAAGATAAGAGGAAAATGTACTTATCGGGTTGAATTGTTTTGGAGTCAGTTGTAAATTTGTTGTTGTTGTTGTTTTCCTTTCCTACGCCACTTTCTGCTCTTAGTGTCGGGTTGAGTCAGTGACGGACCTGACTGTCAGTCTTCTGTTCTCTATGATTTCTGCGCCCTTCTGACTGGTGATTGACTTGAGTCTCTCTATTTAGAGCTGACTTTTTTTTTCACACTGGATCGTTATCTTTTTTTTAGTTTAGCAAATCGCCTCCTTTCTTTGTTCAGAAAATTAATTTCACACCTTATTGTGAAATCTGTTTTTAGTCCTTTTGATCCGATTGTGCGGGTGTGCAAATCTACTTTGTGTTTTTCAGTTATTTGTTGGAATGATATAGGATTTGTATCCTATAAAGTAAAGAAAGCAAGTAAAAAAGGAAGCCAGCAAACAAGAAAAAAGAAATGAAAGAGGAAGAAATAAGATGTAGTAAAGCAAGGAAAAAGAATGAAAGAAAGAAAGACATGAAAAAAATAAAACACAACGGCTATGACAAAAGGAAAATAACGGAACCAAAAATAATGAATGAAATACACAGAATGAAAGAGAAAAATAGAAAAAAAAGAAAGTAAATAAAGAAAAAAGAATTAAAAATAAATAACTGTATACAAAAAGGAATTCAAAAATTGTGGAATGCGAAAAAAAATGAAAGACAGATAATCTGATAGAAAGGACAAAAATAATAAGGCGAAAGAAAAATGAAAGAAGAAGCAATGACAGGTGAAAAAGTAACAATAACAAATTAAAAAAAAATAAACATTCAAGAATGAAAGCGAAAGATAGAGAGAAAAGAAAGGAAATAACTGACTGAAAAAGAAGATGAAAGAGAAAGAAAAAAAAAGACAGGTAAAAAGCAAATGAATGAAAGTGTAAAAAACAAAAATAAAAATATATAAAAAAATAAAAAGAATGATAGAAAGAAAAAGAACCAATATAAAAAACAATGAAAAAGAAAGTAAATAGTATAAGAAATGCAAAAGAAAAAAAAAGCGAGGAAGGATAGCATAGAAAAAAATAAAACAACAAAAAAATAAAAAATAAAAGAACAACCAAAGTAAAAAAAAAAAAAAACATAAATAGATACAAATTCTTAATTATAAATTTATGAGAATAAATTATGAGTAATGTTATTGTTTACAATTTTTATAAGTACTAACGTGAAGTTGGACTGTTTTATTCTAAGGAACTCTCTTGGTTAAACACCGCCTCATTTTAGTACCAACGTTCGTATCGTGGCTTCTTATTGAGATCGATCACTTTTTTTTAATGATTTTTATCTATTGCCTTAATCTCATTTTTTATTCATTTTATAAATTACATTTTACCCATTCTTCACTATTTCTATATCGAATATTTACCTTTCTTCATGATTTTTAAAAAAATCTTCAGCATTTTCATTTTTAATTTGTTATTTCCTCCATTTGTCTGGATTGCGTATGCGTGTTGCTTATTCATAGACGTCTATTTAAAAATTCTGTGATTTATAGGGCTTTGTTTACCGTATTTCCTTTTACATTTTTCATCGTTTGCAAAAAATTTAAATGTTTTATTTAATCTGTCTCTGCATCGTCTCTCGCGATATTTCTTGTGTAGTCAACTGGTATATTGAACATGATCTCAGTCCATTAGGATCTATCTGTCTGTCTGTCTACATATCTATCTATCTATCTATCTATCTTAGTTCATATCTATCTCGCGATATTTCCTCTATATCTCTCTCAACTGGTACATCGAGATTGAGCTCAGTCGATTCATATCATTTCCCTCAAATACACATGGCCCAATGGATAAAGACGTTGATTAAATCCAGTGACTAGACGCAAAGTGTTGTAAGTTCAATACCAGGCCACAGCAGTGGTGAACCAAAATTTGGAATGTTGAGTTAAAGGGGAAAAAAAAGAGGCATGGCAAGTGGAATTAGAATAATCTACCCCGGTGGACGAAACAGAGGTTTTAGTGCGCAATTCTAAACACCTGAAAAGGGCCGGAGCGTACAACGGCCGAAACGTTGTGAATATGGCAATGAAGATGAGGATGACAGTCCGAATAATGTAAATAATTATATTACCTCATCTCAGAGATATAGACAGACTTCGGAATTGATTAGAGCATCGAGTACTTTGCCGAAAGCAGTAAGGGCGATAATTTGAGGGTCAGAGGATCTAACTTATTTCATTTCTTTCTATCTCGCGATATTGTCTCTGTATCTCTCTAAACTTGTATATCGAGATTGAACTCAATCCGTTTGTTTTGATGTGCATGCATATAAGCTAAAGATTTGATAGAGTTACGTCTTTTAGATTTGGGAAATATTTGTAATGGAGCCCACGAAGTTGAATTGATTATTAAACTGTAGTTTAGAAGATTAAAGTTCCTGTTGCATGTTAGGAAATGTGAGTTGGAAAAGTTGGTATAGTTTAGAAGAGTTAAGAGTTCGTATTTGCGTGAATGTTGGTAATGTTCTTTAACGTCTGACCGCAAGGTCAAGACGAGAGTTATTGAAGGTCACATCTTGGCAGCAAGGAAGGAGACGAAAGAGAAAACGGAGAGAGAAGGCTTACTCGTGTTTTGTTTATATAAGTTGGTGTATCACGTGATCGGCTCCGAAGCTTGTGCGCGGGAAAATTATTCCTTGCGTGCAGGCGATTTGATTGGTCGGAAATGACCAATCAGCAAGCTAGTTTTGAGGAGATTAGCCAGTGAATGCCTGTCGTATGATCTGTATGTATGTGTGTGATTGTGCTGATAATCACTACACGTTCATATCTATCTATCTATCTATTGTAGTTCATATCTATCTCGCGATATTTCCTTTGTTTTTCTCTCACCTGGTACATCGGGATCGATCTCAGTCTGTTCATATCTATCTATCTATCTATCTATCTATCTATCTATCTATCTATCTATCTATCTATCTATTAATGAAGTTAATCGTTCCAAAATAAAATTGGTATTAACAATCCGATGCTGTGTATCACAGATATAATATACGGATGTGTGTGTAGTGTTGTTATGGGGTTGCGTGTTCTTTGGCCTGTGTATAACTTTTGTATAATAAATGATTCAAGACAACAACGAAACTCCAAATGTGAATCAACAAGTGTATATTGAAATAGCATACATGAATGAAATATACAATATTGTGCGCAATGTATAGATTAAAGGAAAAGAAGTTGCTTCCCTTTTACCGTATTTTGATTTGTAATTGATTGTTCGAAAGAAAGTTCTCATTAGAGAGAAATGTTCAGGAATCAATGTTAGAACAAGTCTGCTGTTAAAATAGATAACACAAGAATACAATTGATCAGAAAGTATGTTGTGTTAGAGAAATCCTGGTTGACTGAACTTGGCTGAGTCACAGAGATATATGTATATATGTATTACAAAATTATGTGTCTGTGTGTGCGTTTGAAATGTTGTGAGTAATGTCATAGGTTTGTGTTGACAGGGGAAATTTGCTGGAATCTATTGGCGACTTTCGAAAAAGTTGGTAAGAGTTGTTGGTAATGTTCTTTAACGTATGGCCGCACGGGAGCTCTTGAAGACTACATATTGACAGCAAGGAAAAAGATGAACGAAAAGAACCAGAGAGGCTTATTCGTGTTTTTTTTATATAAGGTTGTGTCTCACGTGACAGGCTCCCAGCCTTGTACGCGGGAAAATTAGTCTTCGCGTGCAGGAGATTTGATTGGTCGGAATGGACCAGTCAGCAAACTAGTTTTAAGGAGATTAGCCAATGAATGCTGGCCGTATTATCTGTATGTATGTATGTATGTGTGCGATGGCGATGACGATCGCTACAGTGTAACGTAAATTGGAATCGGCATGCCGATTTCAAATTCCAGGCACGTCTGTTGCATTCACTTTCGCGCAGATACCTCTGGGAAAGGCATGGATATATTTTTCTAACCCCAGCCGTGGGTTAAATAACAGGTTAGACTGGCCTCGTTAACCGTAGGCGACAAGCAATCTAAAAGAAGGAAAATTATTGATTCCAAAACGGTGGAGAAAACAATGAGAAACCACTCCACTTAATTTCCCTGGAATGCATGGAACTCACTAGTAATAAATGGAATTTGTGATGAGTCAGGATTAACTCTGTTCTGAAGACACATGGTATTATAAAAGTATATCATATGGCGCTCGCTGACCGCGACGTGGCCGCCACCGTCGACGTTGCCGGCGGCGCGTGGTACGCGTAGCCGTGGTGGGCGAGCCGAGCTAACGTCAGCCCGTGTCGAGTGTGGAAAGTCGGCGAAAAATCGTCTAGAGAAAACGTTCGCCGTCGAAGCGAAGCGTTTCGCTGTCACTTTCTCGCCTGCCGAACCTGTTGGAACAGTCGCCGTTGCCGGGAGTGCGAAACTGGAGAAAAAAAAAAGCAGAGGTTTTTACATGAAATGGGACATATCTTTATAAAAGTATATCATATGGAAGACCATACTGATGCAGGGGTTTTACAGAAAGTGAAAGAGAATGAGATGATTTTAGTGAGTAGAAAGGGCAAAGAAACAGGAAAATAAAGAAAACGGGATTCAGGAAGACTGAAGATGGCGATTGAAGTTACAATTAAATTTTTGAAGATTATAGGTGACAGGTAAACAAGAAATTGGAATGGAGTTCCACATCCCAAAAGTGCGAGAAAATAAACCGTTAGCATAGAATTTAAGGTTACATCTAGCCAACGCAACTGTAATTGATGACACCTTGACGCTAGCCTGGTACTGCGCTTAAATTCAAAACGTCTAGGTTCCATAGAGAAGAGCAATATAATATTTACAAAAATGTTGCATGAGGCCATAAGTGGAGAATGCTGAATGGTCTTTTGCTGTTTCGTAATAATTTAAATTTTTGAAGATTATGGGTGGTAGGTAATGAAGAAATCGGAATGGGGTTCCACATGCAAGAAGTGCGAGAAAAGAATAGAACCTACAGTCGCCTCTGGTTATTTCAACAGTAAAATAATGATACTTAATTGCCGATTTAGTAGCACGCTTAAATTCTCGCAGTCGATGTACTAAGGAGAAAAGCTCACCAGAACAATTGCTATGAAAATATTTGTAAAAAAGACAGAGGGAAGCCACCTCACGTCACGTCGATGAGAAAGTGGCGAAATTTCATGTCAGGATCGATTATATTACAGACCCTTGAATTTTGTCAATAATCTCAAGATATGTATTTGGAGCATCAGACCGGATATAGCAGCAGTATTCAGTAAATGATGTGGGATTATTTTATTTTTATCAAAATAAAAATCTGCGTTCAGCTTTTTTTCATATCCATTCCTGAAAGAATCACTCCCTTCTCATGGCAGCATGTACAATTGTAAAAATCTTAAAAACTTAAAAGAAAACGGTTAAATTTCTAACCTGTTGTTATTTAAAATATATAATACCTAAATTTAACCCATAATAAAATAATTTAAATATTAATCGCATGAAAATTCAACAGCAATATCATTTACGAATTAATGTCACTTATATATATATATATATATATATATATATATATATATATATATATATATATATATATATATTTTTCGGTCTACAAACAATTATTTCCTCTCCAAGTTTTAATTTTAAAAGGAAAAAATATGCCTGAGGATGAATAAAGGATTATTCGAAAGTACTTGCATTTTAAAAAATATAATCTCGAAACATCAGACAACAGTTGTATAAATGAGGATCACATCATTCTATAGATTAACAGTATTTTAATGCATACATTATACACTACTAGCGATGGATATCGCCAATAATAGCATTAATGTTGCTGATTGATTCTATGCGTGATTATTTATTTATATATATATATATATATATATATATATATATATATATATATATATATATATATATATATATATATATGCCTTTAACTTCCTTGTGAAACATAGGGTCGCAAGATATCGCTATGAGCCAGTTTTTTAAGGGGAGTATGTTGTTAGCCTACTGTGCAACCCCCAACTTTTAGGATCAGATTTTGAATTCAGAGTCATCCTTCTCCTCGTTGCCACCCAAGTTTATACCCAGTCCTGCTATCTAGCCATAGCTGGGGGTAGAAGAAGAGGATTTATACGTTTTCCAAGGGTATGGGTAAGGGTTACGTATGGGTAAGGGTTACGTGCTAGTAAGTGAATATAATGAATTCATCAGGAATTCGAACTCGGCTCTCCGATTTCTCAATCCGAGCCGCTATCCAATGTCACTTAACATCCTCCATAATTTACCGAGACATTTCAGTTAACCTGATAAATATTTATGAGCGTCTCTCAAAGTTAAAAAAACTAACAATTTTCTTTTACTTTTATTTATAAATACTTCTTGTAAATAAAGTCCTTACATTTTGTTTTCCATCAAGAGATTTTCTTTTGTCTTTATTAATATACATATAGTTATCTTAATATATATATAGTTATCCATAGACAGACTGTTTAAAGCTCCTCAGTATACCAAGACGTACGACTGCTTCAAGTCGAGATGGAAACCTGACTGATTTGATATCAGCCAGATCTCTTTACTCTAGGTCATCGTTGCACAGCAGAGAAGGAAGGGAATTTTAACGTCTTTCTCTATACGAAACACTCCATTAGCTCCTAGAACTCAATTCAATTTTACTTGAAGAGTAATGCTTAATAGCAGTAGGAGCCGCTGTTTTTTAAAACCACGTTTTTTCCTAGAGAGATCAAACAGATTTCTGGGAGCATATATATTCATCCACAGACAGACTGTTTCGCTGTATCACAGCTCCCTAGTGTGGTTAGATAGTCATTTATATCTACCTTGAGTCATAAGACAGATATAGTCTCAGACAAGAACAAAGGTTGGGTAAAGTTAATGAATGACGGAAGCTGAACTTTTGAAACTGCAAAAGTTGCACATCTGGAATTATCTTCCTACCTACCTCTTTTTATCATGCTCCCTCACGCCCAGTAACCCCTTGCTCCTTAGCGGCTTTATTGCCTTGCTTAAGATGAAATGATTATATAAGATATTCTGTTTTTTCTTTCCCTTTGTATATTCCTTTTTATCTTTCTCTCCCTCCATTTACTCATTCCCATTTCTCCCCCACTTCTATATTCCTCTCCTTCCGCACTATATACCCTCCCATCTATCTATCTATCTATCTATCTATCTATCTATCTATCTCAGTCTGTTCATATCTATCTATCTATCTATCTATCTATCTATCTATCTATCTATCTATCTATCTATCTATCTCAGTCTGTTCATATCTATCTATCTATCTATCTATCTATCTATCTATCTATCTATCTATCTATCTATCTTCGGCAGTACATATTCTAAAATTGGAACGATACAGAGAAGATTAGCATGGTCCCTGCGCAAGGATGACACGCAAATTGCTGAAGCGTTCCATATTTTTTGTGCCACATTCGATCCCCGTGGGTGGATTGATAAACACCATCTATCTATCTATCTATCTATCTATCTATCTATCTATCTCAGTCTGTTCATATCTATCTATCTATCTATCTATCTATCTATCTATCTATCTATCTATCTATGGTCTTGTTATAATCAGTTTGTGCATTTATCGTTGTCAATGTATGGCTGGGTGCCATCTCAGTCTATTCTCAGCTATCTATTTATTTTTGACTTTGAATGTATCTGTGTTCTTTCCTGAGAAGATAAGGTGTTTAAGGATCGGAAGCTCATGAAGGATTGAAATGAAGTTCAAATATATGTGTATTATACCAGGATCATTTTCCAACTTATTTAAGATGATCATAGCCCTCTTTAACTTTCTCACTTTCTTTTCTGTAGTAACAAGGTGCCTCAAATGTTTCACCTACGATTTCATTTTCAATTCTTTTTTCACTGCTCTTTGGACTGTGGTAACTGAAACTCCTTTCTCATGTGCCAAACGTCTTATGGATTGAGTTGGATCTTTTCTAATTGATCCCTTTAGCTCTATGTTGAAAATATGATCCCACTTTCTGTTGTGACCTCCTGATCCAGTTTCCTTCTCTACTTTTCCCTCTTTTTAAAACTTATTCACCGTTCTCTTGATGGTTCTTGAACGAACTTTTAAGATGGGAGACAGATTATAAATGTTGGCACCATTAATGAAGGCCTGAATGAACATTTTCCTCTCAACATTTCTCATTTTGGAAGACAGTGTGTCTAACGCCAAACGATTTTAACCTGATCTCTTTTTAGGTAACTAACGCCTTTATCCACTGTCCGAAAGGACACATGGCACAGTGGATAAAGACGTTAGTTAGATCCAGTGATAAAACCCAAAGAGTGTGAGTTCAATATCTGCTTAAGGCGGTGGAGAACTTGGAGAAGGGAATTAACAGGAAATAACTGATAACTGACATCCATTAGACATGGCACGTGGGACTAGAACAGTCTACCCCAGTTAGCGAAATAAAGGGTTCAGTTCGACATTCCAATCAGCAGAGGAAGGCGGGGGCGTACAACAGCCGAAACGTTGCGATAAATATGGTAACAAAGATGAGAACAATAGTCCGAATAATGTAAATAGTGTACATAATACCTCATCTCAGAAATATAGACAGATGCGTTGTGATAGATATGGCAACAAAGATGAGGACGATAGTCCGAATAATGTAAATAGTGTAAGTAAAAATCTGAACACGAGTTTAGGTGTGTAACGTGGGTTGCAGTAGGATATTCCATTCCAGATGTACGAATTTATGCCAGATTTATAAAAAGACGTGGGGTCTGGCATTGTTCTGATGGTAGATGGCACTTCACATTGGCCAATTCAGACACTTTTCATCGATTGCTCTCTTTAATCGATTTAATTAGGGACAGTCTTCTATATGCCATGTCACTTCAGGACATCAGCGATCATTGTTCTCCGCAATTTTCTGTCCTTCATTCGTAGTTAATAATTTTTCTCTTTTTTGCCCTCTCTCATGAGCCCTGTTCTGCCATCCATTTACTCATGCTCGCTAACTAGCTCATGCGTTGTTTTCCTCGGTCATTTTTGCCTTCAAACTGTCCTGTGAGTATCAGATTTTCCAAGTTCCCTTTCCTCATTATGTGCCCTAGAAATTTCAACTCTCTTTCTGATGTTAAGTGTAAGTGTCCTTTTTGTTTACAGTTTCTCTAAAACTTCGTCGTTGCTCACATGTTCGGTCTATGGTATTCGTTCTGTAGAACCACATTTCTGTTGCTTCAATTCTCTTCTTCCGCTGTGAAGAGATTTTCCAGCATTCATTATCGTACATGGTGACTGATATTACGTAAAAATTCAGTACTCTTCTCTTTGTTTCTAACGAAATTCTCCAGTTTCTTAATACTCTGCTTAGCCTTTTGAAGGCATCTTTCGCTGTCCCAATGGACTTTCAGAATTCAGTTCGCATTTTCTATCTTCTGTTATAACAATTCATAGATATTTAAATTGTTTTACTTGGGTGATTTTGGTGTCTCTAATTTGTCATTTGCTTCTTGGGCTGTTCGTTTTACTAACACTCATGTATTCTGTCTTTTTGTAGTTGACTTTTAGTCCTTTATTTAAGCTTTATTTCGTTACATTCTGTAGGAGTTCTTGCAGTTTCCTTACTTTGTCTGCTGTCATCACTGCATATCTTATGTTGTTAAGATTGTGTCCGCCAATAATAAATCCTGGTAGGACTTCTAATTATCTTAGAATCGCTTCACTATATAATTGAATAGTGATTTTCCAAGCGTAGCTCAGATGTGGCACGAGGCCGAAATTATGGGGCACCCGGTGAGGATCGAACTCACTAAGTCATAATTGCGCTAGCAAGACAAGCTTGCTAACCATTACACCACGTCGAGGTGCCCCTGTATAATTTGAATAATTCCGGTGAAAAAGACACATAATTGTCTTTCACCCTGCTCTATTTTTGTATATTTAGTGAATACATTTTCTATCCGTATACAGGTGGTTTACTGTCAGTATAGGTTCTGGATTATTCTAATATCCTTCCCAAATATGTAAAGGTTAACGAGCAATTCCAACAGTTCTTTGTGGCTTACTTTATCAAATACTTTTGTATAATCTATAAAACACAAATATACATCCTTCTGCATTTTTATTTGCATTGCTTTCTCTGATATCATTCTGGGCATAAATACCTCATTCCTAGTTTTAGTGTCGTTAACGAACCCGCACTGTTGTTGTCCTATTTCCGGTTGAATTCTGCTGCAACTCACCAGAATCCGTATGTTATGTTTTGTTATATTTCAAAAAAGGAAAGGAAAGCAAGAAAGCAGATGAGGTGCGAGTTAAAAATTTCATATTGTTGAAATTGTTGAGGTGTTTAACAAACTTCCTTTTTTATTTCAATTTCCGCTTATGTAGACAATTTTGGTACCACAAGAAATAGATTAGACCCAGGAAGATTTGTTGATGACACCTTTTTCGCAGTCGATTCGAACTGCTACTCCAGCCGCTACAAGGACTAACCACTTGATATTTTCATTTATTTGCACCTAGCAGGCAGACGTAGTAGTAAACACATGAATATGCACGAATATTTAACCGAAAAACACCCATCTCTAATTAAATGTGTTTTACTTGAAGAATATAACATTTCTAATAATTTATTAAGTATAGTTGCTTAAATTCTGAAACTTAGCAGAATAATAATTTGATATATATTTTAAATGATGCATAAATTTCATCTTTCTTCATGAATTTGATGCGTTGATTAAATTGTATTTTAAGTTGTATTCGCTCAGTAGGGATATAGTTTATTGTTAATGATTAACAAATTTCTTATTAATAATTAATAAATTTCAGACACGCTAAAACTGTTTTTTATTGTCTGAAATTTATCAATTAATAGAATATGTTTTAATAGTGTTGCTCGCTATAATGTCAGTTGGTCTAACTTGTTTGTTTTTACCCTAATTTATACAGAGATTTTTTCTTCACAAACACTCCAAGTATGTTCTGATTAAAATCAAGCAGGAAAAAAAAGAAAAAAAAAACTCTTAAGAGAATCATGGTAATTATAAAAATTCTTAATCTAGAAATGGAGAGAGAATTTCAAAACATGGATCACATTATAATTATCAACTTTTCTCAAATTTGACACCAACACATATCCTCGTCACTACCAAACCCATCCTCTGTTTTTCTGGCGAACCAGCAGCTGTGGGTTTGTACTGTCAAAATAGAAATCGTAATAACACAAAAAATTAAGTCAATATTTGAGCAAAAAGAAAATAGTAAAATAAGATAAAAAATAAAACCTAGGTTAGAATATGGGGGTGTAGAATTGGGTAAGCCGAGAACAGTTTGCGGTAAGGAACGTTGAAAGAGTAAAATTAGCAGCACTTTACGCAAAATCGTTAAGTGGACCGTATAAGAAAGATTGGTGTCACTCTCAGACCGCTAAATGTTCATGATTTTAAGAATATTATTAAGCACACATTATCAGACGAATAATTGGGAATAACTACAATGATTCCACGTCCTTTCATATCATCCATGATCAAGATTCATAAATATGTGTTAAGAAAGACATTTTTACTCTTATTTTATACTAAAACCAATCATCATAATCATTTATGTGTAGTTTCCTTTCAGGAAGTCGACGATTATGGCCCTTCACAATTACCCCAGAAAAAAATTTGATTCTTTTCCGTCCTACCGTTTTGCTAGAAATTCTTTCTCAACAGAATCTATTTTACACAATTATAAATCTACCTTTAGTCCATGCTTTGAAAAATAGCTATCACATCTGGCCAGTTGTTTCTGCTATGCATAAAATACAAAGAAAAATCTGCAATCTTATTAGTCCTGACCTGGTATCTCGGTTTCAGTCACGTAACTTCCCCGTTCCATTTTTTTTTTTTTATAAATATTTAAGTTGTAATTGTTCTGATGAACTTTCCATTGTAACATTTTAAATACATATTGGGGTTAGACTTTTTTAAATTGTTTTTTTTTATCCCCACAGACAAAAACTGTACATATGTGGACAAGTTAGGACTTAATAGGGACTTCGAGGTAATATGGTGGATGCAGTAAGAATGGTAAGTAAGAAAGTTTTGGTGTAAGAGATAATGTGGTATGTTTGCGTCAGTAATTGTGGTCAGCTAGTTTTAATTATAAGACAGAACACCAGCGTTCCCTATCCACCATTTTGGCCTTGTTCCACATTTTTTATCTTTGCAAAATAAATATTACTTTCCTCTATGGTAACTAGACTTTGTAAATTTAAGCACAGTACTAGATTGGTGGCTAGATCTCATCGTTTTAGAGTTAAAATGGCTAGATGTAGCCGTAAGTTCTATGCTAACAGTTTCTTATCTCGCACATCTCAAATGTGGAA